GGAACCGGCCGCGCGGACGGCAGCATGCGGGGCGGCGAGGAGCTGGACGGCTTCGAGGGCGAGGCCTCGAGCACCTCCATGATCTCGGGCGCCAGCAGCCCGTACCAGCCCACCACCGAACCGGTGAGCCAGCGCCGCGGGCTGGCCGGCCTGCGCTGCGACCCCGACTACCTGCGCGGCGCGCTCGGCCGCCTCAAGGTCGCCCAAGTGGTAGGTGTCGGGCGAGGCTCCAGGTACGGGCGGGAGGGTCGGCGGCCTAGCCCGCGCCTTCCTTTCCCCCCCACTTCCCCCCCCCCCGCACCCCGCCGCGGGGGGCAGGCCCGGTGGGCCAGAGCCAGGTCCGGGCTGCGCGGCCCCGGCCCCGCGCACCCCATACTCCAAGGTCTTCGGGCTGCGGTCCCTGCCCCTCTGGGGACCGCGCCCTCGGCAGGAGCCTGTCTTCTGCAGCTCCGAAGCTTCGGGGGTTCCTGGTATCTGCACACCTGCACCGGGGCCTACCTGTGCCCTCCCTGCTTCATCGACGAGCTTGGTGCGCCGAGCTGCTTGTGAGGGCCGTGCCACCGCCTGGCTACTACTGTGCTTAGCAACTTGTGGCAGGTTTTCCGGTTCGTGTAACCCCAGACGGCTCTGTGCTAACAGAGGGGCCGGGGGCTGTGGCACGGTTTCCTCCCTGGCGCCTAGCAGGGTGCCCAGCAGATGGTGGACGCTCAATAAATATTTGTTGAATGGAGGCATGTAACCTACCGTCAGTGGGGGAGTCCAGATCTTCCCATAAAGCCTCCAGTCTTTACAGCGGACGTTTGATCCCTCCTTAGCATCCCATAGTCCTCCACTCAGCACTGGTTGGGACTGCCCAATTGGTACCCAGAGTTAAGTCACTCTGGTAGGGCGGCCAGTATGGGAGGTGACAAGTACGAGGAACTTTCTGTTGGACTCAGGCATACTAGACCACATTTCTTAGAGTCCTCTTATTTTTATTTAATTTAGTTTTTTTTTAGCCTCCAGAGTGTTTGGTTCAGGGGCTTGTGGGTTCTGTTTCTGTTTTGTGGTTTTGTAGCAGGACTGTCTGGGTTTTGGTTTATCTCTGTTGTGACCAAGGTATGGTCCAGTTTAGAAAAACCTCTGTATCCCTCCTACTCACTGTCACTGGTAGCCTTCCACTGAGGCCTCAAAACTTTATAGACTTCTCAGCCAGACAGAGAAGCCATTTGCACAGAACTATAAAATACGTGCATTTTCTTTTAGGGAGGATTGGCCCTGTTCGTAGCTGAGTGCATGCATTAGCCTTTTTGGGGAGAAATATCGTGTATGTGGACACCCTTTAAATAAAGGTCCCAGTGTTTGTAGGTTGCAGAATCATAGAGGGTTTTCTCTCTTCTGTGTGGAAGGCTTGGTCTTCTATTTTTTTTTTAAAGATTTGTTTACTTATTATATATACAGTTTTCTGCCTGCATGTATGTCTGCATACCAGATCTCATTATAGATGGTTGTGAGCCACCATGTAGTTGGGAAGAACTGAACTCAGGACCTCTGGAAGAGCAGCCAGTGCTCTTAACCTCTGAGTCATCTCTCCAGCCCGGCTTGGTCTTCTGATTCATAGTTTTGAAGGGCTTTAATGAGAAATAAGTGGAGAAAGTTATCTATCTTTAAATTTTAAATCAGTCTTAATCCAGTAATCTGGAATGTTCTCAAGGATGTTTTGCTTCTGTGTTGGATATTGCTGTTGGCAAAGAGAATATAGGTGTGAGGGTGTATGTAATCCTGTTTTAAAAGAGGCCGCTAACTAGCTAATGGTGGAATACAGTACACATAATCAGAAGTGATTAAAAAAAAAAAAAAGGGCAGGGCTGAACTTGGAGCCAGGTGGACTGCAAGGCCTAGTTAAGGACCTTGCTTAGTTTACTCACTAGGCCTTTGAAAGTAAATAGAAATTGCCTCTGGTGAACTCTTATCTTGCCCCTCAGAACTGAGATGGAGTGGTTGTACTGAACGGTGGTTATCCGTCCACTGCTGGACTTTGCCGCCTCCCTGAGCTGGAGCAGGAGCTGGAGCCAGTGGTGTTTACCCCTCTGGAAAGGTGTGGTTGCACGGTAGAATTTGCTTTTCACGTGGAAGGATTAACATCTCTCTTAACTGCCGTGTGTCTACTCGGAAGATTCTGCCCTGGCAAGTGAAAGAAAGACCACTTGAATGATGTGGCAGTTTGATGGTCTTGTGCCCTTGGCTTCTGAGCCTTGCTAAATGTTAGGGCTTCCTGGGTGATCCACCTTCCCTCAAAATAAATGAAAACAAAACAAAAAACAAACCAAACCAAAACAAAAAACTCCAAGAAATTAGACTTTAAATTTAAACTGGGAAAATAAACAAGAAAATACTAATTCCTTTAATTCAGTAAAATTTGGTTTTTAAAAGTCTTAGTATATTGCCGGGTATGGTGGCACACCCCTTAATCCCAGCAGATCCCAGCAGAGGCAGCTGCAGGCAGATCTCTGTGAGTTAGAGGCCAGCCTGGTCTACAAAGTGAATTCCAGAAAAGCCAGGGCTGTTACTAAGAGAAACATTGTCTTGAAAAACCAAAAAAAAAAAAAAAAAAAAAAGTCTTAGTATTTATAAACATTGTGATGTGAGGCCTGAGGAAACCTGTGGATCCTTGCTTTTCCCACACTGGATCCAGCATTACTACCACCCTAGGCCTCTGCAGAATCAGCCAATTCAGACCTTCTGAAACTTAATTTTTAACAGGATTCCCCAGGTGATGATCTGTATTGCAGTGTTAGAAACCTCACCCAGGAAGCTGGAGAGGTGGCTTGTTAATTAAGAGCCATTGCCATTCTTCTAGAGGACTTGGGTTCAGTTCCCAGCACTCAGGTCTGGTGGCTCACAGCTGCTTGTAACTCTAGCTCTGGGGGATCTGATGCCATCTGGCCTCAGTGCCACATAGGTGGCGTATACTCAGACAGACAGTCATACACATAAATACAAATTTTCAAATACTTTCAAAAAATGTAGAAAACCTTTAGACGGGTGCTAGCCGTTGTGTCTCTGTCGTGACCAGAAGAGAACTTCCCTTAAATCTCTAAGCCCTGCTCCACCCCTTTCTTCAGTAAGAGAATGTGAGGGGAAAATGACTAATTGAGCATTTTAGGAATTGTAAGAATTAAGGAGTTAAAGTAACCTAAGGTGCTTTCTTAGCTGACTCAGAGGCAAATCTGAGTATTTGCATTTCAGGGTTGGGTATTGTAAAATCTTTTACTTGACGGGCAGCCTTGTCAGTATGTAACCCCAAGCCAGTCAACACAGTCAGTGATTGTTTTATTGTACTCTTGAGATGTGTGGGATGTGATGGTAAAACAGACAAAACCAAACCTGGATTTTCACTGAAGCCCAGTGGGAACATAAAGAAACTGTATGTAGCATAGAGCAGCTACATTGACGTAGCTTCAACTCCCATCAACACTGGCTGTAGCTACTGTGCAAGCTTATCAGTCCCAGATCCCACAGTTACCATATGTAGAAAGTCTGGGCCAATTGAGGTTTAACTGGGACAGACTTGGGTGCCCTCTCTTTTGGAGAGCTGGTCTAAAGACCAGGCTGCAGGGTCGGGAGATACCTGTCAGTAAAGTGCTGGCCTCACAGGCCGGAGGACCTGTGTTTAATCCTTCAAGCCCATGAAAAAAGCTGAGTATGGTGGCTTGTGCTTGTAAACTGAGCACTGGGAAGGCAGAGACAGGCAAATCTCTGGAGCCTGCTGGTCAGTCAGCTTAGTTTAATTGGCAAGCCCCGGCTCTCAGTGAACATTCATGAGGAGGTCAGAGGTAAGAGGATGACTGTGGGCTCCAGGGATGGAATGAAGATCATCAGGCTTACATATTCAGGTGACAAGCACTTTTACCCACTGACCCATCTCACCGACTCCGGAATTCACCCTTTCTGATAAATGTTGTCAACAAACGTAAACGAAAAGGGAACTTCAACCTGGAAAAGATGAACTATGAAAACTCTGTAGCCAACTTCCCACTTAATGGGAAGGAACAAATGCTTTTCCCAAGACGGGGGCTGGGCAGTGATACCTGTGCTTCATTCCTATCCAGCATCACATTGAAAGCTCTAACTGGTACAAAGGTGGATGGGTGGATGGATGGTAGATGGATGGTAGATGGATGGTTGATGGGGTAGGTGAGTCGGTGGATGGATAGGTGAGAGGATGTGGATGGATGACTGGGTAGATGGATGGATGGATGGATAATTATCTTGCACTATGTAGAAAAGCTAGAATTAATAAGTAAATTAGCAGGGTTATCAGATGTAAGATCAACATGTAAAAATAAACCATATTTCTGTATTTTAGCAATAATTTGTTAGAAATTGAAATTTTAAGAAGCCTGGTGTGGTGGCTCATACCTGTAAGTAATCCCAGGATTTGGAGGCTGAGGCGGGAAGGTTACCATGAGTTTGATGCTAGCCTGTGCTGAAGAGTGAAGCTGTCTCAAAAGAGAAAAGAAAAATAACCAAACAGCTGCTAGCTCTGATAAGAAGGAAAGCTACCAAAATACGTAGATCTCCACTCTTACAACTACAAATCACTAGAAAAAGAAATCACAGGTGACCTAAATAAACAGACAGACATGCTGTATCGTGGACTGCAAAGCTGTTGTCGTCATGCATCCCAAAAAGCCAGCAAGAGGTTTTGTTTTTTTTTTTTTTTTTGAGACAGAATTTCCCTGTATAGCCCTGGCTATCCTAGAACTTACTCTGTAGACCAGGCTGGCCTGGAAATCAAAGATCTGCTTGTCTCTGCCTCTGCCTCCTGAGCGCTGAGATTAAAGGAGTGCACCACCACCACCACCTCCCAGCTCAGCAAGATTTTTGTTTGGGGAAAAGCTGAATCTAAAATTAGTGTGGAAAGTCAAGGTGGCTCCAGGATGGTGATGGGAGAGGTGTTTGCTGGGTAGGGTGGGAGGAAGTTTCCTTAGGGAATGGACTTTGTGTCCCTTATCATGCATGAGAATCTTAAAAGTTGCTTTTCATGTCTGACCACTTTAGATCTGCGAAGCCCTGGGCTCATTGTCACTCCTGTTCCAAACCACTGAACGCTGCTCCCCCAGCTCTAGTTCATACTGGAATCCAGTACCCAACGAGATTGATAAGAGACAGAGCCTTAGCAGGGTGAGGTGGTACTCACTCAATCTCAGCACTGGAGAGGCTGAGGC